GGCTCAGTCAGTTAAGCTTCCAACTTCGGCTCAGGTCATGATCTCATGGTTCGTGAGTTGGAGCCCTGCATTGGGCTCTGTGCTGACAGCTCAGAACCTGGAGCCTCCTTCAGATTCTGTGTCTCCCTCTCTCTCTGCCCTTCCGTCACTCACGCTCTGTCTCCCTCTGTCTCTCAAAAATAAATAAACATTAAAAATTTTAAGTGTTCAAAGAAAATGACTATACATCTGGAAATATATAAGTACAAATATATCTTTCTAAAAAAATTTTTAACGTTTTATTTTATTATTGAGAGACAGAGGGAGACAGAGCATGAGCATGGGAGGGGCAGACAGATGGGGAGACACAGAATCTGAAGCAGGCTCCAGGCTCTGAGCCATCAGCAGAGTCCAATGCAGGGCTCGAACTCAAAAACCGCAAGATCATGACCTGAGCTGAAGTCGGACGCTTAACCGACTGAGCCTCCCAGGAGCCTCGAACCACAAATATATCTTACAAAAATAAAGAGGAAACAAAAACTTTTGAAACACTGAGTAAATTTATCCCTAGGTTAGTAATGAAAGGAAATATCAATGAGAGTTCTTCAGGAAGAAAGATAACTAACCCAGACAGATATATGAAAATACAGTATAAAATGAAGAGTAATAGAAAAAGTGAAGACGTAGCTAAATCTAAGTAGATACTGACATAAAACAATAAATAATGTCTTGTGAAGTTTAAAATATACGAAGTGGGGGCGCCTGGGTGGATCAGTCGGTTAAGCATCCAACTGAGGCCCAGGTCATGATCTCGTGGTCTGTGAGTTCCAGCCCCGCGTTGGGCTCTGTGCTGACAGCTCAGAGCCTGGAGCCTGCTTCGGCTTCTGTGTCTCCCTCTCTTTCTGCCCCTCCCCCTCTCATACTCTGTCTGTCTCTCTCTCAAAAATAAATAAACATTAAAAAAATTGTTTGAAATGAAACAAAATATATGAAGAGGGGTGCCTGGGTGGCTGTCGGTTGAATGTCTGACTCGTGATTTCAGCTCTGTCATGATCTCACAGTTCAGTTACTGGGTTTGAACCCCATGCCGGCTCTGCACTGACAGCACACAGCCTGCTTGGGATTCTCTGTCTCCCTCTCTCTCCACCCCTTCCCTGCTTGTTCTCTCAAAAATAAGTAAACAGAAAACAAATAAAATATATGAAGAATTATACTTTGTCCCAGAGAACAAAAAGTGGGAGGGGGATAAAATGAGGTAAAATACCGTAAGGTCCTTGCATTTTCCACAAAGTGGTAAAAGTACTAATTTATAGAACTAAAAAGTCAAGAGTGCATGTTATAATCTCTAGAGTAATGCACCAAACAATAAGACAGCATGTAACTAACAAAGTACTGGGAGGAACAGAAAGAAATAGAGAAAAAAGAACAACTATGACAAACAGAAAACAATAAAGACAACAGATTTGAACTCAAATATATCAGTGATTACATTAAGTTTGAGTAAACTATATGGACCACAAGTCAATAAAAGACCAATATGAAAAACAAAACTTATATAAGCTGAGTTTTGGCATAAGAAGAGACAAGAATTTCAATGTAACGGAGTATAAAGTTCAAAAACAGACCTACAGAAACATACCCACTTGATAAAGATGTCACTGCAGTATACAGGAGAATGGAAGGCTTTTTCAATAAATGGTGCTGGATCAACTACTCATCCATATGGAAAAAATGAATCTACACCTTTAACTTACATCATACATAAAAGTTAGTTGCAAGGTACATTATAAATCTAAATGTGAAAGACACAGAAAAAAAATAAAACTTCTAGAAGAATATCAGAGAATATATTCATGATCTTGAGGTATGGGAAGAGATTACAAAATAGATTACAAAAAGGACAAAGAATAAAGGAAAAGATTAACTGGATTTCTTTAGAATTTATGGCATCTTCATCAAAAGATTCCATTAAGAATGTGAAAAGGCAGGAGCACCTGGGTGGCTTGGTCGGTTAAGCATCCGACTTCGGCTCAGGTCATGATCTCGTGGTCCATGAGTTCGAGACCCGCGTCGGACTCTGTGCTGACAGCTCAGAGCC